AGACCTTTGGGTGTTTTTCTAACTTAGGGATCCCCCCCAAAAAGTGAGGATGCCAATGGACACCGTAAACAATCTGTGTGACTGACCAATAAGTGTCAGATACAGATGTGCTGCCTATGGAACTACACACCTGCACTCAGGTATATATAGTTCTGCGTCATCAGTCCCAAACAAGACCTTGTTAACTGGATACCAACAAAGTATTCCAAAGTCACTGACTTGTGCTTTGAAGTTTCATACTCACATGACATAAATTCTTTATGACACCCTTGCAGTTATAAAATAAGTTCAGTTATAAATTAAAATAATCTTACTAATTCACTTGAGTAACACAGATGCATACAGGGCCTAAGGATCATAATAATGCCATATTGGCAAAAATAACCAAATTTATTGCTGCAAAATGCACTACCTAGCTCAAATTTCTTGTGCAGTGTTGGGATTTTCTCATTTCCCTATCTCTAGCTATAAATATTTTCAATCTCCTCTATTCCATGTTTTTAAAAGGCAATTTAAATTGGCATAATGACAACCAGCAGTCTGGTTTTTTCCAGTGATCTCTTAAGGTATAAGGAGATCACTTTCATTTGAATAAGATCTGGATTTATTTCTATATGCATATTTGTGTTGTCTAATTCACAAAATTTCTCAATAGTACGTAAAGGAGTACTGTTTCTTCGCTTTTCAGATTGTTGTCTGGTTATTTTTTACTGAGGTCATACACAGTAACTGTATGAACAATTTCTACATAGAAAATGATTCAGAGTTCTACTAAAGTCAGTGGACCTCACCATGTGTATATGTTTTGATCTGCATATGACTCAGGCACACCACATGGAACTTGCTGTGGGATTGCATTCAGAAATTGTATGTTATATTTGTCATACTTGTAACTACAGAAAATCTGTTTCATTTGTTTGGCAGCTGGTGGAGAGCCATATGTAGAGCAGGATCCAAAGAACTGCATTGACTCAAGCGAGTACAGTGGGATCTCCATGTCCTTACCTCCAACCAGTAGTCCTTTGACGGTGGAGAAAAATATATGAGAAGTCCATCTTCCCACAGCTAACATTCTGGTCACAGAGAGATAGGATGATTGCAAAAATGCTCATTGATTCTTAAGTATCAAGGGATGGAGTGCCCCATGGTCTGGACTGACAGACATGAATCTATATTGAATATGAGTATAATTCACAGCTGGAGTCCAAACAGCAGAATCTTCAAAACTCAAACTGCTACAATTATTTATAATGGGATTTTAACTAACACATGTGGAAAAGCTTGTTTATTCCATTAATTTGTATCCCAAATGCAAACAAGGTGTAGAAAAATTTAGCATTAAACAGAAATATTATATTAGAGAGAGCTTAATATCCTGCAGCCACACAGGCAGGCTACTTACATCTCATTGAAATAAATTAGATTTAAGCAATGCCATAGCAACGTGTGGGACCACTGCTTTACTTATGAGCACAATCTAATCAGTGTTAGTGAGATTCATACATATACTGGAGAGCTGGTTCAGACAAGTCCTTTCAATTACTGAACTAAATCCTTAAAATCCCCATATCTTTTATTGTAAATAATCCTTGGTCTCATAATTAGTTCTGTTGAAAGGATTACAGGCATTCAGTGGCATCCAGGTAGCTGAATAAATCTAATTAGTTCCCAACTCCTTGTAGTACTGTATGACTGGTATTAGGAGAAAACAGGACTGGCCCCATTGATTAATATTAATTTGCAGTTCTCAAACATCTGAGCGTCTAGGTATATCATACCTTTCAGTATCTGTAGGTCCTAAGACTTCACAGAGTATGCAAGTGCATTATTTCCAATCCACACTCTGTCCTGATGAATTCTTTATCAGTCTGACTTTACTCTTGAGAAAGCAAGCAAAGTACCTTTCAGACAAAGAATTCCTCAAGAACTCAGAAACAGAACTCACCTACAAAACTCTATTGTTAGGTGGCCCAAATGCTGTGGACTGGACAAAAGAAGCTACACAAGTAGAGAAACCTGAGTAGTAACAACAAAGATCTATGAACACCAAGGTACTGTACCTGCTTACTTCCCCCAATTTCTGTTTTCACATATGGTTTCTTGACAGAAAATGTAAGAGACTGAGCTCAAAGTGTGATTGTTAGGAAACAGTAACCTCTCCCTCTTATTTTAATAGGACCCATCAAAAGATTTGCATGTATACGAGAAAGTGCAAGTGAATTGGGCTGCAGTCCACCAAAATTATGCCATATAAAACATCCTAAATTGCCACAAAACCCTTTGTTGCAACAGAGTGACAGAACTACGCCCCACCCCACCCCACCATGGAAATATCAGCAGAATTGTTATTTTTGTTCAGAATCTGCCAACAGACTCCCTACAGTGAAGTCTCTGAATCCTTTTTCAGTGTATAACACGTAGTTTGGACAGTCCACTAGCACTAGGTGTTAAGGATCCATCTGGTGGTTCTGAACAAGTTTCACAAATTAATGCTTATTGCTGCATGCTATTTTTTGTTTGTTGCTGAAGGAACCAGCTCCTCTTTTCTCTAAGGAGAAAGGGAACTATTATCACATTGCACTAAGATTGTGTTTGGTGATGATAACATCAGTGAAAAAGAGGGATACACATCTAAGAAGATTAAACATTCAGTGTCATCTAAAACTGTATTAGAAAGGAAAGTATTCAACCCTAAATCAGTACATAGCGCTTTACAAACAAGATTATCAACACAATCAGAGAGAGAGAGAGAGAGAGAGAGAGAAAGGGACGAAGGGAGAGAAAGAGGGAGAATCTATGAAAACCTGCTTACAAAAAAGATTTTAAAAAAAACAAACAGAAAGAGGATGAGCTTAAAACCAATTCTTGACCCTGCTTTCTTAGAGGGGAACTAGAATGATGCTCATTCTCTTTTGTCTCATTTTAAACCCACTTACAGGTAAGGCTGAAGGACTGCAATCAGTCTTGGCTTCCAAACAATATACTGCAATCTTGCTAGTAACACTAAAATAAACTAAAATATATACCAAAGTTAATTCAAGACACATAAGAAGCTTTCTGGATGCAAATTAATCAGCGTCTACATTATGCATTATAATGAACCTTTTAACCTCTATAACTGTGATAACTATAGCAGTATGTAGTACTAGATATCTGATGATTTAAACTGGCCATGGATTTGTGTGTGTGTGTATGTTAGCGTAATGATGTCTCTTTGTCATTCATATAACAGCAGAGAATGTAGAAGAGCAATGTAAGAAAGAGGACTTGCTTGAGAAACTAGGCTGGACAAATCTGAGGTAAATTCCACTGAAATGAATGGGTCACTTCAGGTAAACATGTTTCACCCTCGAAAGTTAAGAGATTAGTAAGGATGGCATGTTGTCTATGTTTCCTCACTGCGGCTGCGGCGGCGACGATGACGACTATTACTACTACTACTACTACTACAACAAATGGGGCATCCAAAGATTACCAGATTGCACTTGATTTGCCAATCTTTCTGTAAGCAAAAATGTGACAACAACTTTATGATACAAAATTATCTCTGGAGGCTTGGGTGTCTCTTTAGCAGTAAGAAGCCTATGATATTCATTCTCTATCTTTCACCTCATTCTTAATTCAGAACAGCATATATATGATTATCTTTGCACACTGGTTTTTACATATGCTATAGAAAGTTTAAATTTCTTCACAAACCAGAGTACCATGAGTACTAATCACCACCACCACAGTTCAGAAGACGTTTCAGATCAAGAGCAGTGTGACATTGGTGAAGGTGGGAGGGCTCCCTCTCCTCTTGCTGAACTTCTCTTATTACATAAAAGAACAACACTTTTCACATATCAATATTTATGTATCATACAACAGTGTACATGATCTATTTCAATAAAAACAAGATTATGTTTAGCATGAAATATACATCTATTTTACTTTCAGATATACGTAGAACACAGCTTCTCCACCTAGAAATAAATGTTGACTCACTCTGCCCCCCCATCTATTTTTTTCCTGGTTCCATCACTGTTACGCTTTGGATCATTGTCTCAAAATTATTTGGGACATTTCTGCCCATATTATGAATATTTCACATAAAATGATTTTTGTTATATCACAGATTTCTTCTGACATATGTTGATCAGCACATCCAGGCACAGTATTTATTTCCCACTTAAAAAAACAAACATAGATATTTGAGGTTGGAATTGGTATTGTAACAGCTTCATCTTATTTAACCCTACTAAACTAAAAAGAGGAAATGATCAGGAGAAATTGCAAATAAACACAAATATGGATGGAGGGAACACATAAAAATTCAATAAAACAAAACTAAAATATTTGACATACCTGCAGACAGTTTATCTTGATCATTAGCCAGAATCACAGTTCCTAATTCTCATTGAGCCCTATTCTTACATGAAGCTTTTTCTTTTCTTTTAAAAGTCATTTAAGGATTTCTGCTCTCATTAGATAGGAGAAGTCCCCTCACCAATTTTAATTATGATCCTTAAAACATGACTTCATTCTTCTTTTATCAGCTCTGTTCTTTCTTTAGGGGACAGAGAGGAGGCTTTTAAGATTTCTAAAGTATCAAGAAAGAACAGGAGCACTAAAAGCATGCAAGGTAGCATTCCGCTACATTCTGATTAGCTCACTTCACTAAGCCTTTTCTTTAATTTAAAGAAAAGACTCAGCAACAGTTGTTTCATTTTTTTACTACATTTCTCTTCATCTGATTCATTTCACTCTTTTTAAAAAATGACTCATTACATTGTTATGCATCACAAATTTTTCAGTGGTTGTGATCGGCCTCTTTCTGATCATATGTGTACATCACAAAGGGTAGAACATGTGACCGTTCCATGCTTCTCTGATGAAAACCATATGCATGCACATGCAAAAAGCTGTTATACTTTGTCAAGAAATTGTTTCATCTCAACACGTAAATGATTTTGTGCATTCCACAAGCCATGTGCTTATACTGCACGTCTTCCACTCACCTGTTTGGCTAAGCTGGGATGTGCTTCTGCTCCGTCGTGAGACCATGGCCACCACTTTGGCACTAAGACTTGATCGTCTTTTCTTCCCACCTGTGCCAACCGTACCAACCGCAGTGTCGGATTGACTCCCATCATTATGTTCCAACTTATACACCTCTCCACTGACACTTGTGCTCTTTGTGATGGTTCTCCCTGAAGTCCCCATCCGTCTGCCTTGCATTTTAGGAGTAAAGGTACTATATTTATAAAGTAAAAACATACATGTACATTTAAATCATGTCTGTGTTTAACAAAAATTATAACTCTAAAAACATCAGATTGTCAAATTGTGTTGACCTAGACACATCTCAACTTTAGTTAAGTGTACTTAAGTATATTTATATTAGCAAAGTTCATGTTTCCCCATCTCAGTCCTAAACAGAAAGTAGTGTTCTGCTTTCAATTTCATACTTTAATTTTTGTCTTAATTCACTATATATGTCAAATTCCACCTGCTGGAGCATTGGAACAGACTGAACCTTGCCCTATAAGACATGTCTTTCACAATGAAGGGTGTGACAATATTATGTAATGTTAACAATTTTCCATCCTTTATTAATTTTTAATGGTGCGACAAATTTAAGAAACAATGGTATGACTCAATTATCGCATGTGTGTGTAATTTCTGTTTGATAGATGCTCTTTAACAAAACAAGAATTGTAATAAAACATAACTGAGCAGGCTTAATATAGGTTCAATATTTCTGATGAAACATTGAACCTACACTGTATGAGGAGAAATAATTAATTTTTTTTCAAAAGGAAGCCACACTGAACTCTTATTAAATAAAAAACACACACCATATTGTTATTTTTTTAAAAAAAATGTATCCTTAATAGCACATGCTTCCTCAAAATAGTTGAACCCAGCAAAGATAAAGTTGATGTGTTCTTAAGATTATGGCCTTAGAGCACAATGCTATAAATATCTACTCAAAAATACATTGCAGCTAGTTTAGTGAACTGACTTCTAATTAAGTGACTCAAAGCAAATCAGTATATGTTTATGCTGTAAATTGGTACCGTTCACTAACTCTGTTTAGATTTCTAATCCATCTATATCTAAGAGCACTTTCAGATGAGGCTTTAGCGCATCATGGCTCTTTTTTAACCCTTCTTTATTTTTCCACTGCTGCTTCGGCTTTCTATTTGGAAACTATTCTGATCAACTGGGCAGGCAAAAGCACTGAAATAAATGTACACATGATATGCTTATGGTCCGAGCACTCAAATCTGGAATTGGGGCAAGGAAAGAAGTGGCAGGCCTCTGCTGTTTCCAAAACCATGATTATGGTGGCCGGGCAAGAGGTGAATGAAGTAGACTCCGGGTGCGACTTGTTGTGCTGATGGATCCTTCTTTTCCAAAATTGCTACCACAACCACTGAAATCCATTAGGAAGAGGAATGGAATCTCCCAGTTCCTCAAGCATAGCTGAAGGACCTCATCTGGGCCTTCTCGTGGAATCTGAAGGGTGTGTGATCAAGCAGATCCAAAAGCCATTGCCCCACCCCTACAAGCTGGTTTATGATTCATACCCACAGAGCTTTCTCTTTATAAAACTGAAGCAGATGCATTCCCTCTGTTGCTGATGCTTCTGTAACGTTCTAACTCCCACCCACCAACATGGATAACCTAGATGGTTGCACAAGGAGGTAAGGATTGCTTTATCAATTACTGAAACACAGCATAAGAATTATTTCCTCTACATGTCTTTGCAAACCCAGCTAAATGGGTCATATATTCAGGCCTAGACTCTGATAAATCAAACAGCTTTGGAACAAACACTGAAGACAGGTTTCGAATACTCTCATGGTAAAGAATTGATAGAAAGACCACATGATGCAACCTACAGAACATCTGCAATCAAATTTAAAAGCCACACATTTCGGTTTTTATTTTCACAGAAATTATCACCATCTAACTTATCTAGAAGTTGTGCTTTGAAAATAAGAAAAGAAGTGCAGGCACTAAAGCATGGATGTAATCATACTACTGATTCATCTCCATCTGGAGGGAGAGCTATAAAACACACTAAGAATAATCTACTCTTGAAGTCAAGGAGCAATGAATGATAGCAGAAAGCCTGGCAGAAATGCAAAAATATTAAAAAGTATTTTCCAGATGGAGTGATAAAACAAAAACAAAATATTCAAGAACACAAACCTGAAGCAAAGTTGAAATATCACCTATTACGTATGTCCCTAGTTCTCGTATGTCACCACAGTTGCTAATTGACACTAGTAAAACCTGAATCACTTTAGCTTTCCCACATCTAGTACGTAATTCATCAAAGTGAGCTAACAGTAAAACACTATAAGTAGAGCACTTGGATTGGATCAAAAGTCAGATCAATGTATAGGATGCTAAATTTTAAGTGGCAATTTTCTGCACAGCCTTTGATAACTATGGCACCAGAAACTGTTGGTGACATTCCTGCAGGTTTTAATGAGTATTCCATGAACTGATTTTAGCATGGATGTAAATCTTGCAATTTCTCATTCTTGGAGAGAAAGGCAGGGGGAGTTCCCCTTTCCCCGCCCAGTGAGATTTCTCTGCACAAGGTTTTGTTCCAAGAAATCTTGAAGAAAATACCATAGGATTTTTCTGACACTTTATGGTCAGTTTCTTTGCAACAAACATCCCTATTGTGCAGCGTTATTACAATTCATACACAGAATGACATCTTTTCTATGCAGGTTTCACCCTGAAAAAGCAGAAGAAACAGCCAACTGCACTAGATTGTTACTGTACATTTCCTCCACAGAATGGCATCTTTCTTACACAGGTTTCACTGGAAAGGACCTTACATTTATGCAGTTTCCTGTGCAGAATAATAGACGAGAAATAGGGCCAGGGGCAGGAAAGAAGAGTGGGGTCTTGTTTTCCCAGAAAGCCAATGAATCTTGCTCACATAGGGCGAAGTATCATCAGGGAGTCTCAACACAGGGAGACTCGGAATGTCATTGAGAACAAGAAATTTTTAAATGACACACCCCTACCTTAAGTATATTCATGAATTAATGGCAGGGGACATCAGATCCGATGGGTAATAGGTGGATATTTCATTAGGATACCCACTGCAACAACATACTGTACCATGAAGCACCAGCCTGTTAATTCTTCCTACTCAAAGTCCAGATGATGAGGCCGAAGAGGGAAACCACACAAAGAGAGGGAACATCTATACCCAGGCTACAGAATAGTTACATTGGAATAAGTGGAATCCTGTGATCCTTGAAGGCACTAAAATCAACTTGACACCTACATTCCTTGGTTAAAATATTTTGTGAACCTGCAAACAAATGAAGAACCAGAAGTAGCAGGAGCGGAAGTAGTAGTAATAGTAGTAGTATGAAGGTCTTTTTAAAAATACCATTAGTATGCACTCACTGGCAATGTCAATTTAATTTTATTTCTCTAATCAAATATATTTTTGAAACCAAGGACATTCTCTTTGAGAACATTCTGTTTAATCTTGCCTGCATAAATCTAAACACCCTAAGGAACTGTTCCACATTGCCAAAGGGATACTTCCCCATAAATTAAATGATAAAGTCAGATAACATCTGATATCTACATATTAGTGTCTACAGATATTACATAGAATTGTAATGCAATTCAATGCACACCTACTCAGAAGTAAGTTTTGTTTTGGTTCAGTAAGACTGCTATCAAAAATTTAAAAGATATACACTCCGTGTGTGGATAGTCTGGACAAAATTATAGAGAAAATTATAGCTTGACTTATTAGAAATGTTGTTGAACTCAAAACAGGCACTGCAAATGACAAGAGTTATGCAAATTAACAATTCATTAATAGTACTGAAGCAACAGCTGATGTGTAAAATGTTCATGGGCAGATAGAGGCTATAATCAGTCAGAAGAATCCATTCAGAACACTTTCAAGTACTGTTTGCTTAAATGGGAGAAATCAAACCAACTAACCAAACATTTTTTCTAATGAACTTCCTATCTGAAGATGTGTACCAGTGAATTAATTAGAAAAACATTAACAGAGGAAAGTTTATTTATTTAACTTACATGCCATCCACACTACCCAAATGTCTCTGGTTGGCTTACAACAATTTGAATACAATAAAAAGATAAAACAATTAAAATACAATTAAAAATACAGTGCTCTAAAAATTGCCATCAGGACCCATATTGATATTATCTCAATTAAAAATCTTCTGCAACAGCATCTGCGCCAGACAAATCTCCCTCGGGATGGTGTTTCATAGTCTGGGGGCAGCTGCCAAAAAGGCCCTTTGTCTACAAGCCATACCTCTTACCTCCTTGAGGGATGGCTTTTTCAGGAGGGCCCCTTGGCTAGATGTTATTTCATGTCTATTAGAACTAGATGAATGTGACTATATAGTAAACACATACCCTATGGCAACTCATTATAACTTTCATCTTTCCAATAGCTTTGGCTAAAACTGTTATCAATTACCGTATTTTTCACGCCATTAGAGGCACCTCTCCATAAGACGCACCACATTTTTAGGAGAAGAAAACAGGAAAAAATAATCTGTTTTCTTCGCTCCATAAGACGCACAGACTTTCCACCCCCCTGTTTTGTGGGGAAAATAGGGCGTCTTATAGCGTGAAAAATACGGTATGTATTCTTGAAGGCTTTCACATGCCGGGATCCAATGGTTGTTGTAGGTTTTTCGGACTGTTTGGCCATGTTCTGAATGTTTTTCTTCCTAACGTTTCGCTAGTCTCTGTGGCCAGCATCTTCAGAGGACAGGAGTTAGAACTCTGTCAGATAGTCAGAGTTCTATAGAACTTCACGAACTTCATAGAAATTCATGAATTTCCTAAGTATAGCAAAGACACTCCCTATAATTGGATCCCAGTGTACACCACACTATAATGTATGAGTGATTTTCTAAAATACTACAGGCGTACTTTGGTTTACAAATTTAATGCGTTCTCCAGGATGTTACGTAATGCAAAAAAAATTGTAAACCAAAATGTGGTTTGCCATAGGAACAGGGTGGCACTATAAACCTCCAGGCACAATGAATCCTGGGGAAACTTGCCTAATATTGCAAAAAGAAAAAAATTGCAAACCGAGGCATTACTTTCAATGGATTTCCGTTCATAAACAGAAAATTACGTTAACCGAGGCATTCGTAAACCGAGGTACTAATGTAGATTGGTTTACATACAAATGTCTTATGGCAGCTC